ATAACGGGCAAAGCCCGTTAAGCATAAATTATCCCATGTTTATAACTAGACAGTGATTCCTTATATTTCTATTTCATTGTGAAATAAAATTGTAGATTTAAGACTTTAAAAATGTAGACATAGACTTAAATTACACAAGGACTTCCATGCCAATTTCAATAGTACTCGCTCACTGAACAGGTCTGGGCGGCCTCCGTTTTTGGAGGATAGCTAAATTCAATATGGCGGCAAAATTTTTTACCATATATGGAAATCGCAATGCAATGTCGGATAGTTTATCTTCTGATTTCAGAGGATAGCACAGGTAATTTTCAAACGCCTCGTGCCTACCTTTAATCAAAAAGTGCAAGCACCAGAGTACAATTAATTTAAAGTTCAAACATTAAACTATCGGTTGTATGTGGCGATTTGAGATTCTATGTCTAGAATTTTTACAATACGATTTCAAAGTTGGCACTTCTTGCGCTTCATTTCTACTTAATATTTCTTGTTTTTTTGTTTATTTTTTATGTTTTTTCCATACAAATAAAAAGGCACTTATATGCACAATAAATAATATTACTTTCATACTTTCTGTTAATTCAAAATTAAAGAAAAAGGAAACACAAAAGAAAACGACTGTAAAGACAAAAAAAAACCAAAAAACAAACAAACAAACCAAAAAAAAAAACATAAAAACACACACACACACACACACATGCAGCTTGCTAATTTTTGAATGCTTAAAAGCAAATAAAACAATTTAAAGAAAAAATAAGTATTATTTAGAGAAATCAAGAAAAAGCACAGCCCACTTTCCTTATAGCTACATGCAGCATCCAAACTTCCGCCAGAGTTCCTAGATGAGGCCTCGACGGGGAGTATGGATCCGCAGTATATATATTTCCACGGACAACGTAAGTTTCAGTCAGATTCGTCTTGTCGTTTGACAACGGGTAGACGTAATTTAACTGATAAGGAGGACGGTTTAACTCTTCGCCCCTTGCACAGTCTGTAGATGGAGATTGATCCTAATATATTTCCGGGGACTTAAAAATTAAACACACATACAGGCGATACAGACAGTTCTTCGATGACCTTTGATGTCACGAATTTTTACTGTGTTATTAAAATGTGGCATTAAAAACGAAGTGAAAGAGATGTACGGCAGTCGTCAGCGATAAAGATTTAACATGAAATAAAAAAAGGGGGGGAGGGGAATGGACTTGAATGAGTTTGCACGAGAAGAGAGGAAAAGGGGTGGGGATCTATTGTATGCTGCATCCGTAAAACAATTGACTTTACTTCTTTTTGGAAGGGGACAAAATGAAAGCAGTAAAAGCAAACAGGTTTTCAGGATTTATCCAACATAGGATTTTTTCCGTAACTTTGAATTTTCGTTTTCACGGTTTGGATCGAAATATAACGTGTGGATTCTGTGTGGAATATTTAAAAAAAAAGATTTGGTGATAGAGAAATTTTGACTCGATACATTGCTAGGGCCACACCAATTTAATTTCTTGTTCGTCGGACATTTGATGAAATAAGTGCGAGCGGGCTAGCGGTTGGATAATAATAGTATTACTTTATTGTAGGCAAAATTTTTAGGCGGGGCATGAAAAATTTGAGCAGAGAATTATTTTTTAATCTGATTTGCAGAGTAAGTAAATTAAAAGTACGATTAATAGAGTGGAAATGGAACAGAAAACAGCACAGAATTCCCATGGTGCGGGGATTTTAAATTAATATTATTTGTAAAGTATTGTTTGAATACGAGCGCGCGGGTCCGACGAACAAATTTTTTTTATTGATTTGGTCTAGGGAAATATTTCTCAAAAAATTATAATAGTGCAGTTCATAAACTGAGAAATGCAAGAGTTGTTGTTATTTGTTTGGTTTAAATATACCCTTCGTTTTGAAAAGTCCGGTAGGGGGCGATACCTCTATCCTCTCTTTTTAGAGGATAAAATCTATCCTCCAAAAACAGAGGCCGCCTAGACCTGCTGAAGTCAAACATAAGCACCCGCACGAGATTTACATGCATATTTGGCCTCCTTAGCGTCAGGCACAGAGACAGATGCCCACAAGATTTGCATGCATATTAGGCCTCCTTAGCTCCTGACCTATCGACCTGCCTAATTTACATTCCGGCAGAATTATCAAGAAATAAACTCCGACAACTTTCAAAGAGTTATCACAGAGAGAACAAGAGGCCCATGGGCCACATCGCTCACCTGAGAAGCTTTGACTATTCTGTTCTTTACCAGATTCCCCCTTGTAATACATATTGTGACCCCACTGATCATAATGAAAACAATTTGAAATCTACACTACCACAGGATGCTTTGATTCCCAATAGTAAATCTTTGATTCCCCATTGTGGCCCCGCTCTACCCCCGGGGGTCATGAATTGAACAATTTAGAATCTACACTACCCAAGGATGCTTCCACATAAGTTTCAGCTTTTCTGGTCCAGTGGTTCTTGAGAATAAGATTTTTAAAGATTTTTCCTATATATTTCTATGTAAAACTTTGATTCCCCATTGTGGCCCATCATACCCCCGGGGGTCATAATTTGAACAATTTAGAATCTACATTACCTGATTACCCCAGGATGCTTCCAAATAAGTTTCAGCTTTTCTAGCCCAGTGGTTATTGAGAAGATTTTTCCTATATATTTCTATGTAAATCTTTGATTCCCCATTATGGCCCCACCCTACCCCCCGGGGTCATGATTTTAACAATTTAGAATCTAAACTACCCCAGGATGCTTCCACATAAGTTTCAGCTTTTCTGGCCCAGTGGTTCTTGAGAAGAAGATTTTTTAATGACCCCACCCTATTTTTGTCTTTTCTTGATTATCTCCCCTTGTGATGGGACTTGGTCCTTTATTTTAACAATTTAAATTCCCCTTTACTCAAGGATGCTTTGTACCAAGTTTCGTCAAAATTGGCCCTGTGGCTCTTGAGAAGAAGTCGAAAATGTGAAAAGTTTACAGACGGACAGACAGACAGACAGACAGACAGACGGACAGCTAGACGGACGACGGACAAAATATGATTAGAAAAGCTCACTTGAGCCTTCAGCTCAGGTGAGCTAAAAATTAGAAATGGAAATATTATCTTATATATAGACATTCTTTACATGTACATAAGCAACACAAGTCTGACAGAGTCAGATTCTGTTGAAAAAAATGCAGATACGTTATTCAAGCAATTAAATGAGCTATATGTAAACAAGAGGCCCAAGGGCCCCAAGGATCACTGAAGTATAAAAGAATAGAAAAGGAATGACAATTTATTTTACAATTACCTTTATATACTGGTAGTAAAATGAAATAAATTGATAATATGAATATACATCATCACAAAGATCGACTAAATTATTTTGTTTTGTCAAGTAAGGCATAAAAGAATTGCTGTACAGTAAAACTCGGTTATAGCAAAGTCCTGGGAACCCGTGAATTTAATTCGCTATATCCATAATTCGTTATATCCGCATAACCAATTTGTATAACTAGATTGTATATAGCAAGTTTGCAATATGCACGTTTTCCTTCAAGAATTACTACCGAATATGTTAGGGAAGCAATTATTACAAAACATACCTTGGATAACTAAGATTTTATTATGAATTGAATTTTATATACAAATACTTAGTGAAAATAAAGAAAGTCCAAAATAAAAAATTTAGAGATCTTTGAAAATTTGTTATAAAAGATGTAAGTTACATTATTTTTAACCTCTACAGGACTCAAACTCAGTTTGCTATATCCGTAAATTCACTATATCAGAGTTCTTTATAACCGTAAATTTTTTACAAAGAATTGTTAAGAATTTTTCCGGGAACCCCAACAAACTTCGCTATATCTGTGAATTCGCTATATCTGTGTTTGTACTAGACAAGTTTTACTGTACATGTAGACAAGAGATTTTAATGTAGAATGTAAGTTAAGGCCCATGGGCTACAATGCTCATCTGAGTAAAATTGGCCATGTTATTCCTTACCAGATTTTCCCCCTTGTAATACATGTACCTATTGTGGCTCCAATCTACCCTTGAGGGGGTTTGTGTCATGATTTATACACTTCTCCAGGATGCTTCCAAATAAGTTTCAGCTTTTCAGACCCAAGTGTTCTTGAGAAAAAGATTTTTCCTATATATTTCAATGCAGAACTTTGCATTCCCTATTGTGGCCCTGCCTTATCTCTGGGGGTCATGATTTGAACAATTTAATAATTTAGAAGATATAAAACAGATCACCAACACTTTGTGAGAATGCAGCAGTAAATTTATTTGGTTGACCAGTTTCGATCATAGATGGTCATCATCAGAAACCGGTCAACCAACTTAATTTACTGCTGCATTCTCACAAAGTGTTGGTGATCTGTTTTATATCTTTTAGTTTATAACTTTAGGTACAGACCTTATTGAATACCTTTCTGTATCCACACGTGAGAATCTTCCGCAAATTGAACCTCAGGGTGTTGGTCTCTAGTTTTTCAGTTTTGTAATTTAATAATTTGAACAATTCAGAATCTTCACTATCCCAGAATGCTCCCACATTGGTTTCAGACTTGAATTCCCTTTTGTGGCCCCAGCCTACCCTGGGGGTCATGATTTGAATAATTAAGAATTACACTATCCTAGGATTCTTCCATTATAAGTTAAAGCTTTTCTAGCTCTGTGGTTCTTGATCTTGATAAATTTCTTTATGACCCCACCCTATTTTTGTCTTTTCTTGATTATCTCCCCTTGTAAGGGTTCTTGGCCCTTCATTTTAACAATATAAACTCTCTGGACAGACGGCTGACATTGGGTCAGCAGAAAAGCTTATTTGAGCTTTCAGCTCAGGTGAGCTAATAAAAAGATCGACTTCTACAATCCTTCTTTTTAAAAGTTTAATATCTTCATGCAGATATCCTACCCTATCATAATTACCGTAATCTAAATGTACTGGGAATATACTTTGATCTTGACACTAATAGAATCATAATTTGTACAACCTGTTACTAAGAGACAGTACACCATAAACGATAAAGAAAGAGCTCAGAATTCTGTGAACCAGACACACATTTGACAAGACTCAGAGTCTGTCGTAGGTGATCAAGTATTCCGGGTAACACTGGTCTTTATCATAGACCACAAATTCTCGGAAAAGTCCCCCTGTCTGTTGCTTCACTCCAACCACAGAATCGAATCGTTCATGACCGGGATCTGCACAATCATCCTTGTAACAATTATAACATGGTGGCTGTTTATATTTCTTATCTTTCTCTGTTAGAAAGATATGTCCAAGTAGCATGCGCATTAGAAACATTTTCCCTTTTTGTCCTCGTTTATCTTTATCATCTATAAAAAAAGAAAACAAAATACCCATCAAATTTTTTTAAAATCATCTATTAATGCACTTCCTCCAATTTGGACATTTTTTAATAAATATTGTATTTAAAACAGTGTACACAAACCTGCATACTGGTCAGCTTTTGTAGAACTTTCAGCACAGTAAATACCACGACCAAACATGCCACCATCACTTCCATGTTTGGGGTCTACACCCTTTGCCTTAATATTTCCAACAAATTGACTCTTAGTACCATGAAATAGGTAAACTTCATTAAGTTTTGATACGATGTCTTGTTTTAGCCTTTCATCCATAATTTTTTCCGTAAAAATGGCACCTTTAGCAACAACATTTTTTATTCCTTGCTTTTTAGGAACTGCCTCCACTTTAGTCGGGAATTTTGGAGATTTTGTTTTGAAGACTTTATGTAACATCTTCCTGCGTTTACGGCTATATTCTTGATACAAATCAATATTCTCAATTAGTTCTACTTTTTGAACATGAATTTTCTTATGGCTGAGGTTTCTTGCATCTGCTCCTTGCCCCACTAATTCTGGGTTAAATGTCTTTTCTACTAGTTTGCGAATTGCATTAAAAGTTTTTGGGTCCACATCATGGGTTTTTTCTGTGCTTGTTACAATTCCTTTTATAGAATCCAAAATTGATTTCCCATCCTTAAAGTGTTTCCAGTAAGCTGGTACAGTTGCCTCCTCTATCATTTTTTTCAAGTCCTCATCAGTGCCGCGGCGGTGCCTGTTTTCTCGTCTTACTGGGACCACCTCCTGAGAGGACCCTGAGGGACAGATACCTTCTATTTCTTGTCCTGTCCTGTTCACTTCCTTAGCTGAACCTTTCAATGATATTCTATTCCTCTCTGTTAAATACAAAATAACAAAAAAAGTCATTCAATTTATAAAGAAGATCTTCGTAAAAATCTAGAAAAACATAATTTCTATCCAAACATATTTTTTATCCATGAAAATGGGATACAGTTGCTATTTGTATCTCAAACACTGGTGTTTCAAATACCATGAATATGTCAAAATGTTTTGGAAATTCTGACCACTTATACCACAATTATTTATCCCCTGATATCTCAAATTGTCATACTTTAAGTTTTTCTTCAGTCCCGTTTAGTTCAAGATAACAAGGTTTTACTGTGGTCCATGCAATAATTGTATAGAAGTTTAAAATGTGGACTGCGAGGTTGTTTTAAGTTGGGTGAAATAAATAGCAATACATGTACACATGTGTCAGTTGTTATAAAGGTGGCCTAAAAAATTTAATTTAAATTTCTGATAACACAAATCTTTTATATTTAGCCAAATTTAGGTGAAGCGGTTTATAAAAAAGTGTAAATTGCCCCAAGTTATGTTATATTGCATAACATAAGTTGAAATAAGCTTCATTCCTCATAATTTAATTTCAGTGTAGACAAGAAGACAATTTTTCCTCCAGAAAAGCTTGAAATTGAGTATATTTTAAAAGTTACCTCACACGGAGTTATACATTTTTATAGTTACTCATTGTGACGTAGGCAACTTTTGTTATATGGAATGGATAAAATCTTTTACGCAATCAAACGGCGAGTTACAACTGAAATTAAATTATTAAAATTTATTTATATGTACAACTTTTCAAATTAATACCTTTATCCAGTGAAACAAAGACTCCATACTTCTGACCAATGTCATACATTTTCCTCTCTTTCTCTTTAGGTATTTCACTAAAATTAATTCTCTCAATGCTGTGTTCATGTAGAAACCTTTCCTTGATCATTTGGGAGAGTTCACTTCGTATTGATTCTCCTTTGTCTCTGGACAAAGCATATATGTGAAGTTCCATCACAGGTGTCATTTTAGACTGGTCTCCTGCACTGGCTTGTGGGGTTCTCTTAGCACTCTTTGGACGTGACCAGTCCCTTTTTCGATCAAATTCAACATCTTTATGGTGATCTCTGTACTTTCTAAAATCTGGTGATGAGTTTCTTTGTCTTTCTCTGCCTGAGGTATGAACATAGAGACTAGGAGCAGAGGCCTCCCTTCTTAGAGCTCCGTATCTGCCAGGATCTGTAAAAAAATATATGTAAATTTGAGTCCTTCATAAAACAAGCAGTCAGAGAGTATATCATACACAAAACTGGGTCCATTACTAGCATTTACCATATACTTAGTAATAAATACACTGATTCTGCACAGTGTGATAAGGCTGACGTCACAATACCCCATATCAAGGACCGGTCTGAAAATCCATATCATGTATCAGACCGTCAGGCAGAAAATCCATATCAAACCGGAAGTAATGTTTGTATAAAGTTTAAAAGTTAATTTACTTGATTTTATTTAAATATTCATGTAAAATAATTCTTTAATGACATTTGCAGACTTAATTTTTTTTTCAGTTACCAAAAATTGGCTCTATTTTTTAAAGAAAAAGGTCATAAACATGCACGAAACATTCTTCAGTATGCAAATGTAAGCTCGCATATTACAGTCCCTGAAACGTTCTACTTTCCCATTTTTCCGTTCGCTCAACGTTCGTTCACCGTTCGTTCTGCGTTCGTTCACAGTTCGTTCAGCGTGTGTTCACCGTTCGCTCTCCATTCACAGTATTACGTTCATCGTTCACCGTGCGCTCGCGTTCACCGTTCACAAAACGTTCACCTTTCGCTCTTCATTCCGTTTACTTTGCGTTCACCTTGCGTTCACCGTTCACTTATCGTTCAGTCTTCATTGTTATTCGGAACTCCAAAGTGAAAGGACTTATCTTTTTTTATGGTAAGAATGTACATGTTTTTTAATTAAATAACTTAGATATCGTGTTTGAAGAATAATTATTTCATTGCAAAAATTATCTATGATATTCATATTTCTATTATTATAACTCAGCTGTTACTTTATTCATGAAATTTCCCTGGAAAATGATACATTAAGTGCCTACATGTATGTAGAACGATGCTAAAATATTTAATTTAAAAAAACGGCAATGTACAAATGCTTCATGCACAGCCACAATTTGTTGTAATGTTTAAGACGAAAAATCGTTAATGGATGTATAATAATTAAACCAAGTCTTTTACAAGGCAAGAATACACAAAAAAATTATTTCTACAGTAACACGTATTTTAAACTACACGTAGGTCTGAGAATTATGAACAGTACTGCAAATATTCAGTTCATTAAATATCTTTAGAGCTAATTAATTAGACTGATGGTGTGACTTTAGATTTTAGAAAAGATCAACTGTTTAAAATAGTCTATTAATAGAGAAGGAAATTCCTTCCTTCACCGTACCTAAATATATGTTTGCCATTTTAATAGCATAATCAAGACCCCCCCCCCCCCCCTCCCCCGGTGCCTCTTCTCCCGAAATAAAATTCTTAGTGAGTATTTTCAGTATATTTTAATTAATATTTAATGTGTATTGTAACACAAGAAAATCAGTCTTTAAACCAACATCAAACAGTCATTAAACAATAGTATTTTAGAATACACTTGTGCAGACAGTAGTATTTCAAATTGGCAGGGAATATGTTTCTAATTCAATTTAAAACTTAATCCTTCCAAGTATATTTTCCCACTATTTATCTATTTTTTCTGCAGAAATGCAAAAATCAGATCTAGAAATGATAGGGAAAAAAATTAAAACTTCTTGGAAATACTAAGTGACTCTTTGCCTTCGGCATGTTCGGTGAAACGCGATTTCCACACCTCCACTGTGTCGAATGATTTGATTGACAGGAAAAGCACGTGGACTTCCTGTAAACTGTGTGAACTTGATAAAAGAAAATAAAAGCCAATGATTACTGTAAAAGAATTTGCTAATCTAAAAAAATGATTACCTTTACTGCTTGGAATATTTAGGAAAAATAAGAATTTTTATTTGATACAACAACAGACATCTAAGAATTGAGGGTATCTCTCTCTCTCTTTCTCTCTCGTACATTTCTCTGTTCAATAAAAACTATGACAGCACATTACTTATTTAGTTTTGAAAATTTAATCTATTACAAATAATCTGAATGCCTCTTTCCATCATCTTGATCAAGTATAATCACGGCCGGGAAATGTCTACAGATACAGTACATGTAGAAGTTAGCTAAAATAATCATCATAAAAGAATACAAAAGACACATAAATATAGAGTATTTTGCATTAGAAGTTTAAAAAACGGAGACAAATGTGAATTCATAAAAAAAAAAATCCATTTTTTTACTCAGAATAGCCTTGGCATGGAAATACATGTATGTTTGTTTCAACCGCATACAATGTATTTAATTCATTCTATAAGTTAGTAGTAGTTTTATCTTCTAAAGTCCACATCATTTTATTAGTGAAAAGAATAAGCATAATTACTATATAAATAGATTTATTTTATATATAAACTACCTGCGTTCGGTAACAAATAAACAATCATGTTTTACGGTAATTAAACTCGTGTAATAAAAATATCGATTTAAAACAAGGTACAAATATGTACAGATAAAAAATGTTTTTATTATTTATTTATTTACTTATTTATTGTTTATTTATATTAAAGAACCTGAAATTAGAATTATAGAATAATAGAATAATTTCAATGCAAGGAAAAGATCGGAGGCATTCCGAATAAATCGTTCATCTTGCGTTCACCGTTCGTTCACCGTTCACTTTGCGCTCGCGTTCACGCTCCTTTCGCGTTCTGCGTTCACTCACCGTTCACCAAGTTGCGTTCAGCGTTCGCACATCGTTCACTCACCGTTCGCTCTGCGTTCGTTCACCATTCAGGTGGGAAAGTAGAACGTTTCAGGGACTGTAAGTATTTTAAATATATGATAAATAGAATATTACATACTAAAATCCATATCATATGTCACATCAGCCCTTCGGCCCTATATCAGCCCTTGGGCCTTCGGCCCTCAGGCTGATATGTCATACATGTATGATATGAATTTTAGTATGTAATATTCTCTATATATATCTGGATCCCATTAATAATCAATGAGGAAAATATTAATAAAGAACTGCTCAGTAAAACGGAAACAAAATAGTGCAATTTTTTAAAGGTTACAAGTTGAAATTGTCACCCCTCAGAAAAGCATTAATTGTCATTAACCCCTGCTTTTGTTTTATATACTGTAAGTCGTTTTAATTCCACAGTGGTGAAACTGCACGATTTCTTAAAAAGTACCAATCGCAATGGTTTTAATTTTATGCTCAAGAACTTCATTTTAATTTTGTATGTACATTTAAACATTTTTTAAAACCAATGACAGCATTCATGGTGGGTTTAATTTCACAGAAAAATGACGAATCGCGAACATAGTGAAATTAAAACCATCGTGATTATTTGCCAATCTACAGTTTGTAATAGATTATGCACTATGGTTTTCAAATGAATGTCAGTTTTAGCAATTACCCCTTAAAACATGCACTGATTATATAATATGGATTGTTTCACATGTTCATTGTATACTCAGCAAATAAAATATTCCTGGAACAAAACTAAAATAAATAAACATCATTTACTTGTTCCTTCCAATCCCTGTCTCCTCTGGTCGAGATGCTGTTTAAAAACCGAGAAGGTTTCTCTGTCATATATGGCAAATGTTATCTGAAAAAATGTATTGTTGTAAAATGAATATTATTAAATTATACAAGTCTACATTGACTAGAGAATGGACAGAAACGATATTTTTTTTTGGAGCAAAGAAGATAATAAAAAAAAATCTGGTAAGAATTTTTATGATCCAGCATTCATTTAAATAATAGTTTTTCAACACTTTAAATAAAGGAAATATTCTTGACTTGAGATTGTTTCCTCTTTACCTTCCAGTGGTTGTCTGTTTTGGCTTGTGAGACACTTTCTGTGATGAGGAGAGTAGCCACCTCCTCCACAGGATACCTCAACAACTGTCCTACACCTAAAGCTGGAACCGCTATATCATACACACCAAGGTCACCACATAGCCTAAAACATTCCCTAACTGCCTGCTGCAGCTCCTAAAATGTCATACAATACAATAAACACATGCAATATTAGTACCCAATATATCAATTATTGGTTTAAAATCAAATGTATTTAGATGCACTTTTTTGTTGAATTCAAATCCTCTTTTCATGCATTTGCATTTAGTGGGGGGGGGGGGGGGTGTCTCATCTACAGGACCTGCATTTTTCCCCCATTCTTCTTTTCAATTTTAGGGGGTTCATCCATTAAATAAGTGCACCCTTCACACCTGATTTACATTTGTACTGTAAGTCATTTTAATTCTGCGGTGTTAAAATTTCACGATATCTCAAAAAGTACCAATTGCGATGGTTTTAATTTCACACAACAAGAAACTAATTCAAATTTTCTTTCAGCATTAAAACGTTTTTAAAAACTAATTATAGCTTTCACGATGGGTTAAATTTCACAGGAAAATGATAAATCGCAAACGTAGCGAAATTGAAGCCATCGTGAATATTTGCCAATCTACAGTATTTCTCCTATGATAAATGGGTGAAAGACATATTACATAAAACATTAAGTAATTAATAAATCCACATAATTGTCATTATTGAGAAATGATGCAATGTACCATCATGAAATCTTTAAATATCTTACCTTATCTGCATGCAACTTCAATAATGTTTTTTTTTTAATGTACGTGAAAGAGATGATTATAAAAATGAAGTTTGCATCTGCCCAATAGCAGACCAATAATCATACTCAGGTATATTTTAACATTTAATTTAATGATACCCAGGGATATGATTTGAACCAGTCTTACCTTAATTGATGAATGATTTCCCCTATATTTTGGGAGTGATATATGGCACACATGCTCACATTGAAGTTTGCCACCATTTTTTGTCATGACAACATTTTCTGAAGAATCGTAATTTGAAGAGAGTTCCTAGAAAACAACAGAATATGTCAATTGATACAGGAAGAAATTTTTCAGACACAAATTTCAATAAAATAGCTCACTCAAGCCTTTGGTTCAGGTGAGCTTAAAACCAAAACTTTTCCCCATTTACAGTCTCCTTCAAGTTCTATTTGAATGCCTGATGCAAAAAATATTGCCTATGTACAAGTGACCTATGGAAAAATTCATGAATACATACATCAGATAAATCTTGTCCACCCTGTTTCATGAAGCGTTCAAATATCTTGCCTCTCGTTGCTAATCCTGATGGTCGATCAAAGAAGTTTACCAAACACTTGGCCTAAAATATTAATAATAATATAAAAACATGGATTAAATTGTCAGTTTTAAGGACATCATTGACCCTCTAAGAATGTAGCTCTACTAGTTTATACTTATAATAAAGCAAAAGAAAAATAGCATTTGAACTCGAAACTTTGCAACAGCAATACACTAAAAATCGATCTTAAGTTCTACTGGTCAGAGACCAGAAAAGCTTATGCAATACTAAAGTGTCCATCCGTCCATCTGTCTGTCTGTAAACAATTTCTCAATATGCTACTCCTACAGTTTTGGTCTGATTTCAATATAACTTGGCACACATGTAGACTATACTAAGATACATAATTCTGTGTATTAGTTTTTGGTTTGAATCATCAGTGTTGCCATGGTTACTCAAACACAGAATTTTCTGTGCAATACTTTCAAAATGCTACTCCACATAAGTTTTGGTCTGATTTCAATATAACTTGGCACACAAATACAATACACTAAGATACATAATTCTATTTAATATTTATTTTTGATTTTAATGATCAGTGTTGCCGTGGTTACTAAAAATAGATATTTCTGTGAAATACTTTCAAAATGCTACTGCTCCTACAGTTTTGGTCTGATTTTAGTATAACTTGGCACACAAGTAGACTACACTAATATACATAGTTGTCATTATTTTTTAATTTTGGTGAATGATGTTGCCATGGTAACTTAAATAGAAATTTATGTAAAATTCCATTCAAAGGCTACTCCTACAGTTAATGATCAATTAATCAGTCACTATTAATCTATCTCTGTGAAAAGACTATGAACTTCCAATGTTACAATTCATTAATGGAGAAAGACGGACAGACAAAGTAATTCCTATTGCAGACGCATAGTCCACTGGCTTGTGATGATGTGATATAAACTTAAAAATTATTTGACTATGTTATTTTGATGCACTGGGTCTGTTTTGAATTGACATTTTAATGTTTCATCTTCAGGGCCTGTATTGAATTCACTTTGTAATGTTTGATGTTCCTGGCCATTCCTGGCTACTGGTAAAGTTGTAGTCTTATTACAATCTTGTCACAAAGAGAGACTAAATCAAGGATCATTATAATATTCATGCTGTTGCAAAGTTTCAAGTCCAACTGCTTCTTTTCTCTTCCTTTGTTAAAAGTACAAAGTAGAGCTACAGTCGACAGAAACTTCTGGTTGGTTTAGTCATTTTCTGGGCAAGATTTATTGAAATCAGACCAAAACTGTAGTAGTACATGTAGAGGCATTCTGAAAATATTTCAAAGAAATTTCTATTTTTAGTTACCATGACCACATCAAATTGGTCATAAAATTGAAAACCAATATATGTATCTTAGTGTAGATTAGTTGTGTGTCAAGTTTTATTGAAATCAGACCAAAGGTGTAGGAGGAATTGCATTTTGGAAAATTGTTTACAGACAGACAGACAGCTAGACGGATGGACGTCGGACACCTTACTATCACATAAGCTCTTCTGGTCTTCAACCATTACAGCTAAAAACGCAGCTAGGACTTCCAATTCACTTCAACAAATCCAGGTATACAAGGTATCATTGACTACCGGTAAATTAAAAATAACAATTATTCACTTTATTTGAATTTATGTAAGAGGGATGTCTCTTAAATGTACTTTAGATCTATTGCTCATTGAGATGCTTTTCAAAATTTTCTGCTATAGATTCTTTTGTTTGTTAAACTTTGTCCCCTACTTGTGGTCAACCCATACCCATTATTATACAAACTTGAATGAATGTCAACAATTTGATCGAAAATGATTCTCATATATACAGTCAGAACCTCGTTATCTCAAACTTGATAGGACCCAGAAAAAATTTAAAGATATCCAAGGATTTGACAGGTCTTTGAGGGTAAAATACTTGAAGAATAAGTAGTTGGGACTTTAAAAACACTTTGACATATCATTGTATTCAAGATCTCAGTGTTTTAGATCCAGAACTTCAACTGTACCGGTAATATGATTATTGGGAAAAAAATCTTGAATCCCACCTTGTAGAGTGTTACATCAGCTTTGACGACTTGGATTGTAGAGGACCTCACTGTTAATTTCTCTGAATGTGACGCTCTCTCCTCACCAAAAAAATCTGGGGATCGAGACCCTGCTACAGAAGTTGGGAGATCACTGAAGATATCCTCCTCTTCATAACTAACAAAAGCCAATGATATCAAGTTTTATTCCATATTTCCTCTCTGGTTCTTCTAAAAGTACGTGTGCCTTCATTCATATTTACCTTGACAGTTTTAGAGTATCATCTACTGTGGTTTCACCAATTTTCCTTGGCATCAATTTTCGTGGATTTTGTAAAAGAGATGTTTTCGAGGATACGTAATTTCATGGACAAAAGCATTGCCCATACAAATGAATATCATATTTCTTAATTCAATGAACATTTGAATTCGTGGATCTGCACAACAACGAAATCCTCGAAAATTGGTGCTCAATGAATATTAATGAAACCACAAAATCATCCATTCTGGACATTTACTTAAAACTACAAGCTAGCCCAAATGAAAAAGAAATCTAACAAAATACTTTTAAAATATCTTCAAAACCCTACCAAAACATACTTTTGTATTTTGTTTGTACGTTTTGAAAGTGTTGCATTTAACGAAACATCAGTGCAACACTTTATAGGATGGGGATGGCATGGTATTTTGTTAATGTTTCATTACAATGTTGGTGTTTTATTAATGTTTCATTACACACTGCAAAATGAAATTGCATTTTGAAAGTATTTCGTTACACTTGTCTGCATCAAAGTAATATTTTATTAGCGTTTCATTTGATTTACAGACATGTTTAGGGTTGAATTATATCTAAGAGTTGTAAAAGCTTCCAAGAACAACTTAACTATTTACATCCTGTGTAAGACTAATATTTGCGCCTATTTTCAAACCACTAGTACTAGGTCAGAGAGAAACAAAGAGATTGGTGAAGGGATATGCAAAGTGTTAGTATATATATATATTGATCCTTGATTGGAAAAAGCAAAATCAGGATGAATCTGGATATGAAACAGGTATTTATTGCATGACATAAAGTTCTTTTTTACTGGACTACAGTAACCTTCAGTCTGTGAATGTGGATGTGTATATGGCCTGTTTCTATTGGGTTTTTATTTATTTTAAGATTGACCTTTAATCCATATATACTAGCTTAGATCAGTTTTAAGCATTGGATTAAGTGATGAATTATTATACATGAAAATTCTCTGTAAATGTATGTGATTGGAGAAATGGCCAATGACTTGAGAATTATATCTTTTAAACCAAAGGAATTTAACTGCAGAGAATGATATAAGAGAGTGAACTTGGTGTTTTTAAATGTTGGAATGGTGCACTATTGTCTATTGAACAATAGTGTCAATCCTGGAATTCAAAATACTGTGAAACAAGAAGTGTTTATGTTTCAAAATGAGACTGTGTTTAGATGTTTTCAAAGACTTGTGGATATTTGTTAATTATTTAATTTGAAAAATTCAAATTTAGTGGTTTATTGATGATTTGTTGCTTATGATTTGTTAGTAGTTTGTTGGAGTGTTTTGTTAGCCTCGTTTGCATGTGATTTGCTATACAATCGGAATACTTTCAAAACACAGTGTTTTGTAAGTAGTTTGTTAGAGTGTTTAGTTAGTAGTTTGTTAGAGTGTTTTATTAGTAATTTGATATAGTGTTTTGTTAGCTCATTTGCATGTGATTTGCTATACTATCGGAATACTTTAAAATCACAGTGTTTTGTTTGTATTTTGTTATAGTATTTTGTTTCCCCTTTTTTTTCATTTGGGAGTGTAACAGATGTTACTAAAATAAGAAACAAGGATTGAAATAATATAAATCTTACGTCTGTCTACTTGATTGTGACTGGAAAGGAAGCCTGACTTTTTTACTGCTATTTCCGACTATAATTCCACACTGAAGCTGGCATTCTGCCATTTTTATGAACTGCTTTTCTTCCTTACGAAGTCCGTTTGACATGATTGCAACATCTGTCTCTATTTCGATTAAATAAGGTTAATTTTTGTGTGATGTAATGACAGACATACTAAAGAAATGACTGACAGAGATGACAGATTTTACGTTCCCTCGCTTTCACAAAAGCTGAAGACAATAAATTCAAACAATGATTATTAAAAAGATGAATTTACAGCTGAGCAAGATTTTAAAATTTGTATCTTTGATCCAAAGCATGCTTAGTACATACCATCTTTACTAATTCTGAATAAATCCAGTTTTCCATCCCATATTTTCTGCTGTATGCTCTTCAGACTTTCCAGGTACTGTTTCCCATGTGTATCATCACCGACAATCTCAATGATCAGACACTTGTCTGTAGTCTCTCTTCTGACTACTCTAAGGAAAGGAAGACAACACATTAATTTAGACAAAAATCAAACAGAGGCTTGGTGGTCAACCCCCCCCCCCCCCAAAAAAAGAAATGCTAACTCATAGACATAAAAAGGCTGCCCAACAGATAAAAAAAATAAAATAGCAAAAAAAATGAAACAACTTAACATAAAACAAGTTGCCTTAATTAGTAATGTAAAAACTGAAATAGCTAATTAACAGGGACATAAAATAAGCTGCCCAGCCGTTCAAATAGTGAAATAGCAAACTAATGTAGATTGACATATCGTCGCTGTAATATCAAAATGTCGTAAGTCGATTTTTGGCGCAAAATTTTTTTTTGCTAATTTGGAATCTGCAATATCGAATACATGTTCTGTCAAAACGTCATGTCTCTAGGCCAATTAGAAAGTGAGATACAGACCTGTGATAAAAGCGCGTATGTCCATTGGATGCAATTTTTTTCTGACAAAAGGTCGTATGTCTCTGGGCACTGACAAGGATGTCACTTGACGTCTGATATCAAGGTTAAAATTATGATTTTACTTAAATCTTTTATAATTTTTATTAAAAAATGTGTTCAACATACACAACAAAGTATATTTATTTAATAAACAGAGAAATCAATGGAAAGATTGATGAAAAGTTAGATGTAAGGTTACTTCATGACAAACTGAATTCTGTTTTCGCAGTTTGTAACTGCAATCAATTTATGAGTTTGTTAATTCATATAATATATTTCAGAGCGTTCTAATATCAGATTCGTACGCTTAACAATACATTGCAGGGATTTGTTTCAATACTTTACTGGAGATACGACAATTTGTACAGAAAAAACATCCAGGATAGAAAGGAGAACACTAGACATACGACATTCTGAAAAAAGATGTTTTTTGTCTCTCCTGAAAAGTTGGGATTTTTGACTTACAACAATTTGATATTACAGCGACGATATATAGGATCTCCAATGAATGATTTGTAGTTGGATAGGATTTTTATCAGCTTGTGTGATTTTTATTCCCGAGCCTTGGCCCTGAGGCCGAAGAGTGTATAGAGTACAACCCGGGGTAAATTCCTGTACACCCTTGATTGGACCTGGATGACAAATTTACTTCCTATGTACCCATAAAAATACTTTGTAAACATCAGAGTCTAATCAACTGTGTCTCAACCTAGGATAAGATACACACTACAATGCATCGTGACCTCATGTCAATTGCTTTTTATCATACAAGAGGCCCATGGGCCACATCGCTCACCTGAGCACTAAGAGTAGGAAAAAGTAGAAAATGTTTTTTTTATTGTAAAGTTTAAATCCAAAAGTAGTCCCATGACCAATCATGGATTTGCTATTTTTTAGAAAATGATTTTTAAAGAATTTTCCTATATATACCATTAAAAACTTTGGGTTGGCCATTTTGGCCCCGCCCTACACCTGGGGGTCATGATTTGAACAAACTTGAAATACACTACCTGAGCATGCTTCCATATAAATATGATGAATTATGGCTTTGTCATTCTTGAGAAGAAGATTTTTAAAGAATTTTCCTATGTATTTCTATGTAAAACTTTGGTCGGCCATTTTGGCCCCGCTCTACCCCCGGGGGTCATGATTTGAACAAACTTGAATCTACACTACCTGAGCATGCTTCCATATAAATATGATGAATTATGGCTTTGTCATTCTTGAGAAGAAGATTTTTAAAGAATTTTCCTATATATTTCTATCTAAAAGTTTGGTCGGCCATTTTGGCTCCGCCCTACCCCTGGGGGTCATGATTTGAACTAACTTGAATCTACAATACCTGAGCATGCTTCCATATAAATATGATGAATTATGGCTTTGTCATTCTTGGGAAGAAGATTTTTAAAGAATTTTCCTATATATTTCTATGTAAAACTTTGGTCGGCCATTTTGGCCCCGCCCTACCCAGGGGGTGATGATTTGAACAAACTTGAATCTACAATACCTGAGCATGCTTCCATATAAATATGATGAATTATGGCTTTGTCATTCTTGGGAAGAAGATTTTTAAAGAATTTTCCTATATATTTCTATGTAAAACTTTGGTCGGCCATTTTGGCCCCGCCCTACCCAGGGGGTCATGATTTGAACAAACTTGAATCTACAATACCTGAGCATGCTTCCATATAAATATGATGAATTATGGCTTTGTCATTCTTGGGAAGAAGATTTTTAAAGAATTTTCCTATATATTTCTATGTAAAACTTTGGTCGGCCATTTTGGCCCCGCCCTACCCCGGGGGGTCATGATTTGAACAAACTTGAATCTACACTAACTGAGCATGCTCCCATATAAATATGATGAATTATGGCTTTGTCATTCTTGAGAAGAAGATTTTTAAAGAATTTTCCTATATATTTCTATGTAAAAGTTTGGTCGGCCATTTTGGCCCCGCCCTACCCCGGGGGGTCATGATTTGAACAAACTTGAATCTACACTACCTGAGGATGTTTCCCCATAAGTTTCATCTTTCCTGGCACAGTGGTTCTTGAGAAGAAGATTTTTAAAATATGCCACTAAATTTTCATTAATTCCCAATTATCTCCCCTTGAATGACGGGCGTGGCTCTTCATTTGAACAAACTTGAATCCCCTTCACCCAAGGATACTTTGTGGCAAGTTTGGTTGAAATTGGCCCGGCGGTTCTTGAGAAGAAGTTGAAAATATGAAAAGTTTACAGACAGACAGACGGACAGACGGACAGCTAGACAGACAGACGGACGCCGGACAAAATGTGATCAGAAAAGCTCACTTGAGCCTTCGGCTCAGGTGAGCTAATAAAAACTATGCATTGTGACGTCACATTTTATTTACCCCGGCTCAAGTCTGTGCATGGAAATTTACACCAGACTCTGTAACCATGCAATCAAATCTTGTGTTACAAGCTACATAGGAAATAAGAAAAAATATCACATGAGTCATATTCACAGGATAAAGGGGTAAATACAGGATAAAAAAAGAATAGGCTTGGAATTTTCAAAACTAGAAATACAGCAAAACAAAGTGTACAAAACACTTCTGTGAAACTAACATAAAGAAACCAAAAAAAATTTAAGAAACTAAACAGTGAAACAAGAAGCTGCAGATCTGTAGCTCAATCTCTGCTTGAGAAAATTTGGACAGATAAAGCAGAGAGCTACAGATCCAAGCATTAATTGTAACAAGAGGCCCATGGGCCTTATAGGTCACCTGAGTAGCATGCAACAACTTTCCAACAAATTAAATTTGCTTCATGTTTTAAACCAGAGGCCATGGAATTCTGACACAATTTTGAAAAAGGCACCATTGCTTATCATAATTATACACTCAGCATGCTTACTCTGATTACTTTTAAATACCCCGAGTAGATCAGAGTAACAAAGAGAAAATGCATTTCCACTTTTGGATCAGTTGTGCACCCCATCCCGCAGGAACCACTGAACCTTGGGCCACATCTTTCAAAATTTTGGAAATTTTATAAATTTTATTTCATCATGTTGTTGATTAATACCAAAGTGCAGATTTCAAAGCATTAAATAATTTTCAGACAATGTAACCCCCCCCCCCCCTCCAGTACCTCTGTCCCAGGGGCCAGGAAAATAACCGTTTTTGGAAGAAGCAGCTTTCTTCATCAAATATATATACTAAGATCAATTGGCATAATACCTAGGAACAAAGGAAAACATTTTCAAAGAATGCATGCATTTTCACTAAATAAACATTAGAGCCCCACCCTAACACAAGAAGCCCTGATCCAGGGTCCCTGAAATTCAAAAATCTCAAAGAGGCATCCATCCTTCTCATAACTATGTACATAGTTCACTGGTTGAATACCCAGGCGAGAGAAAAAGATTTCTAAAGAATTTATGCATTTTCACTAATATTATCAATAAAGCCCCACCCTAACACCAGAACCCTCAACCCAGGGGTCATGAAATTCACAATTTTGGAAGAGGCAGTCTTATTCAACATAGCTATGCACTTGGTTAGTTTATTTAATGCCCATGAACAGAGAAGAAGAATTTCAAAGAATTTTTGCATTTTCACTAATTAATCTATATAGCCCCACCTTAGCATTAAAACCCCTTGCCCTGGGGCCATGAAATTCACAATTTTGGAAGAGGCTGTCATTTTCAACTCAACTATGCACTTGGTTAGTTTATTTAATGCCCAGGAGCAGAAAAGTAGAATTTCAAAGAAATAATGCATTTTCACTATATAACCTATATAGCCCCACCCTGCCACTAGAACCCCTGACCCTGGGGCCATTAGATTCACAATTTTAGAAGAAGCAGTCTTATTCAACATGACTATGCACTTGGTTAGTTTATTTAATGCCCACAAACAGAAAAGAAGACATTCAAAGAATTTTTGCATTTTCACAATATAATCTATATAGCCCCGCTCTAGCACTAAAATCCATTGCCCTGGGGCCATGAAATTCATAATTTTGGAAGAGGCAATTATTTTCAACTCAACTATGCACTTGATTAGTTTATTTAATGCTCAAGAGCAGAAAAGAAGAATTTCAAAGAAATAATTCATTTTCACTGTACCTATTTAGCCCCGCCTTAGTACTAGAACCCCTGACCCTGGGGCCATGAATTTCACAAATTTGGTAGAGGATCAGTGCTGATTACAATCATACCAACAGTTTGACTGCTTGATGTCCAGGAGTAAAGAAGAAGATTTTTAAAGATTACACTAATTTTAGTGGTTTTTGCCCCACCCCCCAGGCCCCAGGGGGACAGGGACAATGAAATTCTAAATTTTTGTTCCCCTTCACCCATAGATGCTCTATGCCAAATTCGGTTGAAATTGCTTCAGTGGTTTCAGAGAAGAAGCTGAAAATGTTCAAATGTTAACGCACGACGGATGACGACAGATAAAAATAGGTCACCTGAGTTTACTCAGGTGACCTAAAAACCTTCAATTTATGCCGCAGATTTTTGTCGCTCACTTACTATTTCTGGTATTTTATGCTTTCCCCAGTTTTAAATGTGGTATGTATCTGATCGAGATATATATATATATATGGATGTCCAAATGGCATTGTAAATCAAAGGTTTTTACAAGGCTTGGATCTGTAGCTCTCTGCTTTATTTGTCCGATTTTGTTCAAGCAGAGAACTACCGTTCTGCAGCTATGAAACTGATTGAATTAAAATCTCACACATCAGGTACAAAAACTCACTTATCAGCTGAACCAATAGACCAAGCAAAATGATAGCCTAGAAGAGGAAAACTTATCACTTAAAGATGCACTGTTTACAGTGTGTATGTGTTGTTTTATAGATCTAAAAAGATAAAAAGGGGGGTAGTGGCCAATTTTTTTCAAAGCCAACTTCCTTTCACTTCCAATTTCTTTTCCACACAATACTACATTTCCTTGATATCACTATACTGTGGTAAGAAGTGGGGGGGGGGGGGGGGGCAACCAACCTTTCAATGGAGATTTTCAATAGTAAAGGTAATGTTGGGAAATAAAAGAGGGGCAGGCCCCCCTGTTGCTATGTTCCTGTGCCTTATGATTCAAAAGCTAAAATATAAAGAAAATACAAATGATTGAAATGAAATTTACAGCAAATCAAAGAATATGTTGTAACTTCTCTTGTTAATTTCTGATGAAATCATTATAGACAGAATTTTTCATTCATAGGTTCTAAATTGTTCTTTATCAATTAAAAATTCATAGCAATTAAGAGTCATTATATAAAAATATATGAATCTATCTCTGTGAAAAGACTAAAGAGCTTCTAATTTTACAATACATGTATTAATTAAATATATGGTTAAAGATGGACAGTCAAAGCAAATCCTACTACAGACTGACATACTCCACAGGCTTGTGATGATGTGATATATATATACTTACAAATTATTACTCTGAATTGAAGTAACTTTAGATATAAAATCTGGGTCCCTCTTGTAGCATCTTGACTGTCCTCTGTTAAATTGACATCTTAGTGTCTGATGTTCGGAGCCCATATTGAATGGACTTTGTAATGTTTGATTTTCAGGGCCTGTTTTGAAATGACTTTGTAATGTTTGATCAGGGCCTGTCAATGTTTGATCTTCAGGGCCTGTACTGAAATGACTTTGTAATGTTTGATGATCCTGGCCATTTCTTTCACTCAGGTTTTTTTCAATCAACTGTCTAACAGTTGCAACATCCTCAATTCCTCTCAGTGATATGACATCACTTTGTACCTCGATATCAACAAGATATTCACTTTCCAAATCAGTTTGTCTTTGTCTTTCGAGTTTCTTTCCATATGGAATCGGAATTTCCTCTTCAGAAATAAGGGTGGCAGTAACATCTACAGCTATTTCAGCTGACGCCTTATTTGCTGCCGTCCCAAACAAACAAGATTCCCCTTGGACTTCTACAAAAGCTTCGATTCCAATTTTTGCCAAAGCTTTTCCAATACATTTTGCTGCCTTTGGTTTAGATAAAATCTTAGCATCCCTTTTTGATATGTTTTTCCTGTGCTCATTGATGTTGCTCTGATTGGCTCCCACATCAATCCTTGCAACAGTTTCCTCTTCCTTTTCATGGCAGCTGATATATGGTTTTGGTGTTGTGACATTCTTATCTTCATTTTTTTGTGTTTCTGGAGAAGTTAACTTCTCAGAACTTCCTCCTTTGGATTTTTTATCTGTTTCTTCCTCACTGTCAGATTCAATTATCATCAAATTTGATGCCATTGGAAATCGCAGACAGAAATAGGTTTTGATCTTAACAAAGTCAAAATGTGTGCCAGTAATGTTTGTTATTGTCCCACTACATTCTGTAAATTAGAAATTTTGTTATGACTGAGATTTAATAATTTTCAAGTTCTTTTTTGTCAAGACATTTCTTTGGTTAATCAAACCATATTCTTTAAACAAGAACTTTAAAAGGGGCCACGTACTGTATAAATTAATATTTAAAATCCTCTATGGCTGAACTATCCAGGATCAGATAATATATTATTCATATAATTAATTTACAAATGCACTGGATGTTTTGTTTTTAAATAACAAAAATATATATATGCAGATATTTTCTATACTTATATCAATTTCCAGTTTCCATAAAATGAAGAATAAATGATTAACCCATGAAGAAAAATTTAATAACTTTTCGATGAGCTTGCAACAATAAAGTAAAAATCCTCATTTGTGACATTTCGGTTAAACTCTTTAAAAGAGCTGTCGAGATCAAATAATTTTTTACTAGCGCTCTCGAGTGCTAGCAACTACATGTATGTTAGTCCATTTGTCTGCAATACGCATGCTTGGTTTCACGGTAGGGCATTCTGGGAATTTCTGAAAAACGACCACAGATAGACTGTATGATAACAATTCGTTGTGTCATTAAATAATACTGACCTTTTCTGTTTCATTCTGAAGTTTGTTTATTTTATTGTGTATTAAACTTACACTTAAAAAGTAAACTACAAAAGAACAAGAGGCCCATGGGCCACATTGCTCACCTGAGCACTAAGGGTAGGAAAAAGTAAAAAATGGCTTTTTATTGTAAAGTTTAAATCCAAAAGTAGTCCCATGACCAATCACGAATTTGCTATTTTTTAGAAAATGATTTTTAAAGAATTTTCCTCTATATATCTTTAAAAACTTTGGTCGGCCATTTTGGCCCCGCCTTACCCCGGGGGGTCATGATTTGAACAAATTTGAATCTACACTACCTTGAACATGCTTCCATATAAATATGATGAATTATGGCTTTGTCATTCTTGAGAAGAAGATTTTTAAAGAATTTTCCTATATATTTCTATGTAAAACTTTGGTCAGCCATTTTGGCCCCACCCTACCCCCAGGGGTGATGATTTGAACAAATTTGAATCTACACTACCTGAGCATGCTCCCATATAAATATGATGAATTATGGCTTTGTCATTCTTGAGAAGAAGATTTTTAAAGAATTATCCTATATATTTCTATGTAAAACTTTGGTCGGCCATTTTGGCCCGCCCTACCCCGGGGGTCATGATTTGAACAAACTTGCATCTACACTACCTGAGCATGCTCCCATATAAATATGATGAATTATAGCTTTGTCATTCTTGAGAAGAAGATTTTTAAAGAATTTTCCTATATATTTCTATGTAAAACTTTGGTCGGCCATTTTGGCCCCGCCCTACCCGGGAGTCATGATTTGAACAAACTTGAATCTACACTACCTGAGGATGTTTCCCCATAAGTTTCATCTTTCCTGGCACAGTGGTTCTTGAGAAGATTTTTAAAATATGCCACTAAATTTTCATTAATTCCCAATTATCTCCCCTTGAATGAGGGCATGGCCATTCATTTGAACAAACTTGAATCCCCTTCACCCAAGGATACTTTGTAGCAAGTTTGGTTGAAATTGGCCCAGCGGTTCTTGAGAAGAAGTCGAAAATGTGAAAAAATTACAGACAGACAGATGGACGCCGGGCAAAATGTGATCAGAAAAGCTCACTTGAGCCTTCGGCTCAGGTGAGCTAAAAACTTAGGTCAATGCCAAGATTCTAGACATCTAGCTAGTGAGTTATAATATACCACCTTCCTGAATTGATCAATGCAGTTCCACACTAATATAATATAATAAGACTATAACAAATTTCGTTTTCAATGTAATTTGCACTTCACAAAAAAAATTATAACTCTAATTATCAGACTATAGACTCATTAAACATGAAAAAATTCCTTTCTGTGTTTAAAAATTGCTACGGCGCTAGCTCACTTTATCTTTTTAAAAAGATAAACATTAAACTTGTAAACAGTTATCACATGTTCACTAGATTGTCAGAAAACAGATAATAATTATTTGTGATTAATGATTAGATAATGCACCACACATTAAGATGTTAATAAACTTACTTACTAAATTGACTGTACCTTACAACTCCTTTCAGTTTCACTTTCTTTTCTTTTCTCAAGAAGCACACAAACCGGAAATTCACCAATTTGGCTATAAATAGCTCATGGGGGAAACCAGCATTCACACCAAAATAGAATACAGATAACACTGGTAAAATCCACCTGTGACGTCATTCTTTTGTTTGCGCGCTCCATTACTTTTAAGGTCAAGATCTAGTAAAACGTTTAGACTAATTTTTTGGTGCTAGATCCATTATGACGTCATAATCAATTTCAACTTTCTTTTTCCCGTACTATGCGGCTTTAGCAGAATTATGTGAGAAAATAGGGTATTTTCATGTCATTCAACTTGAAATCATATGAAAAGTAAACCGGATACCTATATTAAATTTGATATTGATTTAAGGAAGAGGCCATGAACATACTAATTACCGTTTTCTGAGACTGTAGGCAATCTGGATACATTTCCTTTGCCGAATACGAAAAACTCCCATTTTCATGATTGGTTTTCTTAATTTTTCAATAAAAATGACAGTTTAAAATACAGTTTTTCATCTTGTTTACCTACAAATTATGCCCCGAAACACCTTATTTGACCAAGCTAAAGTTGTAAAGCATCAATAAAGGAATTTATTTCTCAAGTTTGATAAATCTGTAGGCACCTTTCATTTACTAGATCTTGACCTTAAGGAATGGAGAGTTGCAAATTACATTGAAAACGAAATTTGTTATGGTCTTATTCTCCTTTCCGTGCCTCTACCAAGGAAAGAACTTAGAAAATTTTAGAGAAGAGTTTTGGAAAATTTTAAAGGTTAGTTTCACATTAAGAAAAAGTAGATCATCCATGATGATAAATGAACCCGGTACCCTCACCATAGCAGTACGATGCTCATTTCACTGAGCTAGCGAGGCAGTTGGAAGACCTTGTTTTAGATTAAATTCAGTACATCTTTTTTTTTAGTTTTTCTTTCTATATTATATATATATATAAATAATAATATTGATATGTAAACAGTATTTACAATGTATCATATAAATATTCTTTATTATGTATTAACAAACAATAAATACAAGTATTCGGAAAGGCGGATTTTACGCGGGTTAATATACTCGTAGCGCTCCATTCCTTAAAAGTAATGGGCCTCTGCTCCATTACTTTTAAGGAATGGAGCGCTACTCTGTACATTAACCCTTACATAACACATAGATAAAGGCCTTTATTTAACTCTAGGATATCTAACTTTGCAAGTGAAATAATCTTTCATTAAATAATTACATTTCTAAGATACTATTTCAATTTTTTCACAGTAACTTCTGTAAATTAAAACAAGATACCCATGGGCCTGAGTTATATGTAACAACTTTACAACAATTTAATTTAGTTCATGTTATAAACAATTCACAATTTTGATTTGAAAGAGGCGCCATTGTTTATCATAATTACAAAATGTATAAACTTAGCATGCTTACTTTGACTACTTAAAACCTAGAGGTAGATAAGAGATTATAGTAACAAAGAGAAAATGCATTTCCACTTTATAACCACCAGTTGTGACCTCATCCCACAGGAACCACTGACCCTGGGGCCATATTTCTAATTTTGGAAATTTTATCAAATTTTATCTCACCATAAATGGATGATTATTGCCAAAGAACAGATTTCATATAGCATTATTTATTTCAGATTATTACCTAACTGACTACTGTAAACGTATTACATTTAGCGGTGTATTCTATTAAGCGATTTTGGCGGAAAGCAGAGTCCGCTAATTCAAATACATAATGTCTTGTATATTAACTTTTATAACAAGCACATTCAGATTGTGCTTAATCAAATCTACGCTAACTTGTTGAAAATTGAATTTCCGTAAAATATCGTAAACGCCAAATGTAATATGTTTACAGTATTTAAATTGTAATTAGGCATTCTGAACTGTTTCACGATTTATTTTATGTTTTTTGGGGTGATCAGAAACAAACGAAGGGAAGAATGCTTTCCTATTGTTTTGCTCATGTTTAAGCGT